CCTGTACATTGTAATAATATTTAATAGATTCTCTAAATTCCTATGATGTCACACAGTGTTTTAAGAAATTTCCTTGTATTAACTCATTCCTCACAACAACCATATAATGCAGGTTCTGTTATTTTCCTTACTCATCACAGATGACTAAACTAAAGATTAAGTACCTTGTATAAGGTCTCATAGCTAATAAATGACAGAGCTGAGATTTGAGGTCAGATAATCCAGTTCTAAAACCCACATCCCTAACTACACAGTATGGCATAATGCATAGAAGAGATATTTGCACGATAGCAAATGTGCTGGTGGATAGCAAGCTGATGGGAAATAATTACAATCATAAATGTAAATGAACTATTCCAAGTATATTTTATAAATTCAGTTGCACAGTACCATCTTGTAATACATGGCTATGAGACACTAACAATATATCTTCCTGCAGGGCAGCCTTGTAAAGTAGGCTGAGCACAGTTTTAGACAATGATTGAAATGACTCTATAAAGCAGATGCAATCATTGGCATACCATATGAGTGTGTGCATTCAGAGATCAGTAACTGAGACACGGGGGCTCCTAGAACAAATTTGAGAATTACTTAGGAGGTAAATGTATCAGAACACAGTGACTTTTGGATGACTGAGGTAAAAGGTATTGTCAAAGTTAATGCTAAGATTTCTGGCTTGAGCAACTGGGTGATGATCAAAGCACTCACTGAGATTTAGAACACAAGAAGAGCTGCAGATATGGCAGGAAAGGTAAATCTGGTTTTGACTGTGTTGGCTTTGAGATATCTATGAAATATCCAAATTGAAATGTCCGCTACAATATATGAATCTAAGATTCAATTTATATATGGGCTAAATAGATCAACCAGGGACTTCTCAATATATAGATAGTAGTTAAATATAAATGAATGAACAATATTCCCTGAAAGAGTGTACTGAATGATACAAAAAAAAGAGGTCATAGGACAGAAATGATATTTGACAGATGTAAAGATATGAAGGGTTTTGAAAAGGTGAAAAGAACTGGCCAGAGATTTTAGGGGAAGGAAAACTAGTAAAGCATAGTGTCCTAGAAATTAAGGGAAGAGAAATTTATTTTGTAAAATATTTTTCCAAAGCTTATGAATACTCTAGAGGAATACTAATGCTGTTGCAAACTGTTTTTATAGGCAACATAAAGTATGTTAAATGCCTTACCAAACCATAAAGCCAAATCCAGATATCATTTAGTGGCCAACATAGAACTCTGTGGCTGGGTTCTTATCAGAAATCAGTATCTGAGATATACTATAAGGCATAGCTATATCTTATTTTTCAGCTTCCTCTTTGAAGCTGGCGATAATAGTGGCATCACTGAAAGTGTGTGGAATTTCTTCAGTTCTCTATTTTTTGAGAAAAGTCTGTCTATGCTTGGAAGAGACTATGCACAAAGGAAAACTTTTGTTCAGATTATAGGGAGCAGTTATCTTTTTTTCCCCTCAAAATTGTATTTAATGGTTTTGTTAGTCTTTATAATCTTAAAAAGGATCTACAATAACTGTACAGAGCCTGTTCTAACCCCTGCCACCACCTATCACTTCAAGATGTCAGCAAGGATGGCAACTCTTTTTAAAGTTCTTTTCCTCCTTCCTGACTCTGAAAGAGAAGTGGCAACTTTTATTTCAAATGATGTGGGTGTTTACTTTAGATTCTGTGATCTCAGTTATTATAGGAATTTATTAATTCATTAATAAGTGTATTTATATGTTCAATAAGTATTTATAAAACATATAACAGTTCACAGATTGTGCTAGAGCTAAGGACACAGAGAAGAATCAAACAGAAACTGTTGCTGCACTAGTGGATAATGGTAAATCCTATAACCATTAGAGGGCTGCCATACCGCAATGTATTTATATCTCATCTACATTTATAATTGATACACCGGGAGATAAAAACATATTACAATGTTTAGATTTATTATAAATACCATAGGATACTAGCTGTCCCTCATAAACACTACAAAATCTTGGTTTTGATTATGGTCTTCATGCCTTTAGTTCACTATATTCCTTCAGACTTGGTCTTTCCTCTCCAGTTTGGGAGACAGGTTGAGTTACATTGCATGTATAAACTGAAATGTTCTACTTTGCATTTTAATTAACTTTGCCCAAACCCCCTCCCATTGAGAGAAGGATGATGAGAAAAGAGGTCTAAACCAAGCAAGTGTCTAAAGACAGGATTGGTTTCCTTATATACAAAACTAAGGTAAACAATTACTATAAAGGAAAATAAAAAACAGCAAAAACCAAAGAAGCAGCCAGTCAAACAACTAGTAAACTCCAGTGTTCATATCCCAGGAAAGCAACTCTAAATTTAAAATGTGGAATTCAAGTCTGGTAAGATCAGACTGAGAATAGAGCAAGGATGAGATCAGGAAGAAAATGGTTATTTGTATAAAAACAATAGAATGCTTAGAGCGCATCTTTTAGGAGAAGTGATGGAAGCAACAGGTAGCTTTAAAGTACCACAAATCCAGTGGGGAGAAAAGTAAGATATTGATCATACATTTATACTTTGTTTATACCAAGCATCTTTATATTAGTGATATAGATAGTGTTGGCAATATAATCCATTAATTGGCTCTATAACTGAGTTATGCAAGGCATAACTATTTACTGATAATTCTGGTAGTTGTCAATATGGACCTCCTTTTATGGTGGTGTTAGAGAAGGATCCTTTAATATGGCTATTTAGATTGTGCAGTGAACTCTAGGGACAAGATGCAAAAGACGCTCTCTGGAGTTAGTGTCCTGATGATAGTTATATCTGGTCATATAGCTTCTTGCAGGTGCTCTCAATCTTTTAGAGTCTGCCATTTTAGCCCCTTAGTATTAAAAAATATATACTTGCTTCTTATTTACATTCTGAACCTTTTGCTTGTTTCTTTTCATTATACTTTATGATTCCTAGTAGATATACAGATCTAATGTGTTTATTTTTATCTTTTAGTGATTTAAAAGCTAGTGTTTATGTAGTGTTTAAACTGCAAAAACAATAGCACATATACTCATACCCACCATATTTAACATTTCACTTAATTATTAAATAATAGTTGGTTATTCAAATGGATTGCAATGCTTGCTTGCTATCAAAGGAATTAATTTTTTGGATGCCATTTCTTAAATCGTGTCAGTGCACAAAAATATGAATATTCAGTAATATTTTAATACAAAAAATAAGCTAGATCCTAAAAATGTGTTTTTACAAAGATTCACACTAGTATATATTTTCACTTGTGATTGGCTTCATTTTGTACTGCCCAACTAAGTCATTTAATTCTGATTCTGATATGCTGTATCAGTGTTACCTATACTTTAAGTTATATTTAATACTGTCTTTATAATTTAAGTTATATTTTTAAAATTCTTGAATGTGAATATTTTGTCCTATCTCTATTTCAGTAGTTTTTACAAGCACATTTAAGCCTAGAGTATTTTCATTTTAGGAGTGAAATTAAGAGAAAAAGTGGGGAACAATAGAAAATAAATATTGTAATAGTGTATTGAAGTCAGATAAGTGAACTAGGATGAGCTAAGAAAATGATTATAAAATCAGATTTTAAGAATATGGACTTTGAAGATAACAGCTGCTTTTATAAGCTTACATCTGGATATCTGAAATAGTATATCAGCCAAATAACATCCCCTCTCTACAACTTGGGATTAGATAGAAAAATAGAGAAATGACTTAATCATATATATTCTAAACTCTCAAGGTAAGCAAACTATTAGCAAACTTCATAGTTACATGAAGGGCAAATTGTGCCACCTTTAATATGGGCCCAGAAAAGAGAACCCATGGGGCAAAATACATTGACATGGAATTTTAGATTTGGAAGGTAACAACTAGATTTATTTTATTTGATTCATTAAAATTGAATTTTCTTACTAGCTTTCTAACTTCTATATCATTACAATAGTTTTGGCAAGGCAGTAATAAAAAGACAGAAATAATGTTGACTTTTGAAAACAGACCACTTAATGGAAGTTGGCTTCACTTCCCCGCTGTCTTTGGTATGTTTTGAAATGTGATTTTTCAAGTCCTGTGCAAGGAGATATTAGAAGGGGCTCTTCTCTTTACTTTCACACAGGTCCATTCTTCCTTTGCCATACCTCTGATAATTAGGATCCTTTCTGCTCAATCATCCTCTGCTTTCAAATAAATAAAAATTCTATTATTAAAGAAAAAAGTATTTTTAAAAAATATTATTCACTTGAAGATATTCTTTTATCTGTGATTATGTCGTTATATATTTAATCTGATGCTATTTTTAGTCAAATAGAATGTTTTCCCTGGAATATTAAATAGCAAAGATGAGATTTACCTTACTTTTATGACCACTTAAGTCTTAGTTTATGAGTCATAAAGTGTTTTCTGAGATTCATAGGGTGAGTTATATATACTGTGTACAATGAACCTTTCTTGGCATCATTAATAATTTTTGAAACTGAAATATGGCAATAGTTTGTCTCTATACTTTTACCGATCCATCTGGGTTGAAACCTTGAATATGGGTTGGAGATTTTCCCAAAAGAAAAGTAACATTTAGTTAGGTTAAGTGTCAAGTTGCTAGCTTCATACTGTATAAAAGTCAATATGTACCAAGTCATATTAGTGAATTTCATCTACACTGTTCAGAGGTTGTTGAACTCAATTACAGAAATGTGCAGAGCTCTATTTGATGTGTGAAGAGGTTAGGAGACCACAATCAATTAAAAAGAACACATGTATATCCTGTTCTGGGGAAACGGTTGTTATAGTATCCCTTGTTCTGCTTCTGCTTTTTTCTCTGAGTTTTCCTCTGAACATAAGAGAACAAAGGGTTTAATAATTCCCCAGTTTCATTTGGAATTGTTTTGTCAGCAATATCTTGTAGGAAGTCATGCAATTGTTGTTTTACTTGAATGAAGCCTCAGGCGACTACAATTAAACCTTCTGTATATGTTTTTTTTTGTAGCAAAACCATTTGAAAATGGACAATATTTGGACATTTATGGAATTACAAGGGACCAGGCTGGGGAATATGAATGCAGTGCGGAAAACGATGTGTCATTCCCAGATGTGAAAAAAGTAAAAATTGTCGTAAACTGTAAGTCTCATCACTTTTTATCACAATAACTTCTAAAAAAAGATAAAACACCTTGAAAAATTGTGTTTGAAATACGTGTTGCTGTTTTTTAAGAGGTAGTATTGGTAAAAATTGGTAAAAATCACCTAATGACAATGAAAATGTCAATCACTATTGGTAAGAATCACCTAATGACGGCGAAAATGTATACATGTTAAAATATTGATCAAATTGTTTTATGTAACAACAATTGTCCCAAGTAATTCCACAATAATTCAGTTTGATGTACAGATTGAAATGTTTCCAATCTCATCCTAGTCCCCACCATGCTAAACTCTGGTATCCTTATCTCTAAAGCACCATAGACACAGGTTGTTTTTCATCTCATGGGCTTTACCTGGAGTGCACTTGGACTAAATTTATGTGTGTAACTCCCAATCAAACCCTATGTAAATGAAATGTGCTGGTTTATACTCGAAGAGAGGAGCTGTACTGTGATGCTTCTATTACTTGAATCATTTAATTCTATTTAGTTTAGAAAAAAATTGAGAAAACAAAGAAAGAATTTTCCCACAAGCATCCTTATTAGGAAGTTAGAATATCAGCTAGACACTTGCAGAGCCGTCAATGTCATTATACTATATGCTTTCTCTTAACGCCCCCACAACGCTGATGTAGGACAATTTTCAATAGCATTCTATGATATGCCTTATGATCTCAACAGCAATGACTGTAATAGTCTTTACTTTTCAAAAATACCTCCTTAGTTTTTCTCTCAAAAATTTTCATGCTGTTTAACTCCTTCAAATAAAATACCTTTGGATAATAGTATTTTACCAAAAGTATGCACAAGCTTTTATTTTTAAAATTCCATTTATACATTTTTCTATACATGGCTCTTGCTAATAATGTATATATAGTATTATACCATAGATCATAAGAAATTGTTTGGAATCTATCCAGAAATACTCAAACTAATTAGTAGTTATTTTATATTAATATGAGTTTTTCAGTCCCATGGGCCAAAAAAACAAAAAACAAAAAAACTTTCGAAACACTCCTAGCAGTTGGGCTGTCACCAGAGCAAATCACTGTCAGCAACTAACTTTTGTCAGTAACTAATCTATACTTCAGGTTGATCTCTATTAGACTGAGCAAATGTGCATGATTTCAGATCAGATGCAGTTTTTGGAGCAAAATTACTCACAGAGTATTTAGCAGAATCACCCAAGATGCTTAATGGAGAATTTCTGGGCCCTACATCAGCCATACTGAGTTACAATAGAATCTTTTGGGTGTATGTCCTGGAAACCTGCATTTTAACAAGTTTCCATTGATTCTCAGTACTCTTGTTGCAAAGGGCTACTGCTCTTCCCTCTGGAACTCTCCGAAATAAGTGATAACAAACAAGTAAAATTCCTGATCGTTTTATCACCAACCATTCTTATCTGAATATATGTGCACTGATTTTATTGTTGGAAGTTTCAAGAGTTGATAAGGGGAAGACTGGGAAGAGAGAACTATTAAGGAAGGATTATTTTTAGTAATGAGCACCAAGAAATAAAAAAGTAGAATAAAAACTGCCAAATAATCAAGACACCCAGCCCTGCAGTGCAACCCACCCTCAAACCCCTAGACCCAATAAGTCTTTAAAATAATGTCTCTGGTAGGGATGAAATTGAAAACAGCTGCTGAATGGATTTGCACAGGTTCATACTCCATATAAAACGTACAATTTCTTTTGAATTCACATTTTCCTTTGTATCCCTCTGACTTGAGCTCATTGTCATTTATTATTTAATCTGATTCTCTTTTGTCCTACACAAGTGAGAACTTTAGACTGAGAAAGGTCAATTTAAAGAGGCACAAACTTGGGGAGAAAAATAGAAAGAAAGACACATCAACCCAATTCCTTATCATCAAAGGGCCTGGGTGGAGAGGAGAGTCCCTCCATAAAGCAAAAGGACAAAAACTGGAGAGACAATATGTTAAGAACTGTGAAGGCTTTGCCATAGTTTCATGGATGCTGGCAGAAGACAAAGGGCAGTTTATTACTCATAGGAATGGCAGTAGTCCGAGTATTGTCTTTTTCTTGCATCAGTTTCTCAAGCTTCCAATTTCCAAGGGTGATATGATTAGGTGACACCTGTACACAGTGGGTTTATGTCATAGCTGAAACACCCTGAGCTTAGGAAACTCAAATTTATATACGAATAAAGAGCAAACAAACCTGCCCTTTGCCACAGGGGGAGAAATTATCTTTATTTTATTGAACTGTAAACAAATCTGTCCTTTGCTCCATAGGAAGAACTACTTCTTTCCTCCAAGAATGTTAAAAGATAGTCAGGAACAAAAGCTGCCAGTGCCTCTGCTTGTAAGATCTGTAGAAATGCAAGAGATCCATGAAGAATTGTCTTCCAATATAAGATGGAAGCAGGAAAGTTTGAAGTAAAGCCTAGAGACATTCCATCGGTTGAAGAAGGTGGTTTAGTTGCTTTTTTAGTGTCTCAGACACCTTAGAATAGGTAGGAGAGAAGAGTTTGTTAATCACTTTAACTTAAGAGGGAAAACAGAAAAGACAAATGGAGAGGTAAAGAAAAAAAGGTGCTTTTTAAATCATGACACAGACTACCTTTTTTGGGAAGAAATTTCAGGTAGATAAAATATAGTCACAAGTCAATGTACTGCTACAGACACAATATTTATTTCTCTCACATTAAAAACAAAAATTGGACCTGACAGTATTTTTAAATAATTTTACATAATCAGTTTTGTCTTCTTCCCCTCCCTGAATCACACCTTTGATAGTTTACATTTTTCTAAATGTTTCATGAAGAATTGTGTTTAATACTAATTCTGCTTAATCCTAATTATGTTTAATTCTGATGCCACACATATACAAGTGATATCTAAAGTGTGAAGGTGTGTGCATATGAATATGTCTATATATGTTACTGAATGTGATAAGATTTGCAACGTGTTAATTTTGTGAATTTATCCCTTTAAAAGTCAAAACTTGAGAGCTGCCTCTGGATTTTACTGAGCAGATTTCCCAAAGGAAATTAGCCAAAGCCTACAGAACAAACTTTAGTTTGTCAAAGCCCAAAATTGAGCACAGTGGTCTATTCTACCAGCATGGAACTGCATATCCCCTGATAACCTGAAGATTCCCTGAAGATAGTGTCATGCCAGGTTCAAGGCAGCCCTTCTTTTCATCGTTATTAATCAATATTGATTGTACATATGGAATTGCAGTAGCTTTGTGAGTTATAATTTGAAAAGAAAATGTGTCCCTTTTCCCAAATGGGGCTCAAGATGAAATGTGATAAATTTTCATAAGCTTTATAGATTCGGTTAAGTCATTTGGAGAAAGATTTTAGGTTCCCTGCAAGTTTGAAATGTTTAATGTTTTACTATTTGTCAAAGACATCTGCCACATTCGCTGTATATAAAAAACATATACATACAATACATAACATCATTTTTACCACATAATTAGTAGTTATATCATTTTAATGTGGATTTCTGTTTCATTTAATTATTAATAAATAGCAGTAACATGAGATGATTGATATAATTGACTTACTTTATATAGTTTAGGCTGGTTGGTTGATTGACTAAATCAGATCATTTTAAATTATTTACAGAAAGCCTTACTATAAACAAAAAGAAATGTGTAAACATTAATGCAAAGGATTATCTCTGAGTTAGGGGATTGTAGGTGATTACTCTCCTTATATTTATCTGTTTTCTTTTTTCTTATATGTGTGTGTATGTATTTCTTGTCAAATTGAAGAAAAAACTAAAATGACAAAAAATGGATCATGAAAATTATCATAACCAGGCCTTGAGAGATTAACACATACACATATACACACAAAAAACAAGAGAAAAAAAATTTGGAGCAGTTGATTAGCTAAGCCAGAGGGAACTAGTCGATTTATATTTGGACAGACTCTCTGTTTTATTTGCATTTGTGTTCCATCTTTGGCAGCAGCCTAGTGGATACTAGGCCCATAATTTTTATTGTTAATTGCAAAATGGAAAAATGAACAAGTTTCAGCAAATACACAGATTCAATTGAATTGGGAAAAACAGGAACCAGTGAAGATCTGGTTAAGAAAGGCAAGACCAGACCTTGGAAAATCTAGAAAGTTGACTCATTGGAAGCCAAATCTGGCATCTGGAAAACTTAGAAAGTACTACAGACAAATGAAGTAATGTAGGTATGTATAGGGAAGCATAGTCCCAGGTATTAGCAATCAGCAAAGCCTAGACGACCTGGCCCTATGTGAATGTTACTAGTAAAATGGATGATGTGGTTCTCTGATCTTTTGACAGAGGCTGTTTGTTCTCCACACTGTTTGTATTCTTCCAGTTAGGAGTTGCTAGTTTGGAAATGTGGGCCTCACAAATGATATTTATACAAGTAAAGACATTTACTTGACTGTAATTATCAATACATAATTTAGGGTTCCATAATTTACTGGGCTCTGAGACCTTAGGCAAACAACTTTATCTCTCTGAGTCTCAATTTCTACTTTTTAAAATTCAAGGCAATAATACATATAAATTTTGTATGATAATATAATATATAATAGAAAATAAATTGATATCATATATTGTTATATGATTATATATAAAATATAACATACATATATTATATTATCAGTTATTATATTATATATAATTATATAATATAAATTATATGTTTATTTGTAAATTTGTAATTTTGGGAAGTATATAAATATAAGCTCAAGTTACCCTAGAATGTAAGCTCTATGTAGTAAGGGATTTACCCATTCTTTGGACTCTGATATGCTCCTGTCACTTAGAAGAGTACCTGGTCCATAGAAAGCCATCTGATAAATACTGGTTGAATGAATAAATTATTAAAGAGATTAGAGTTCTCCAGGTGAATCATTCTACCAGGCAAAACAGAGAGGAGATGTTAGATTTGCTTCATGATTAAATTTTTTACCCCCAGGAAAATGAGTAGATGGTATGTTGGCTAATTTGCT